AAAAACTTGACATCATCCATGTCAATTTCTGCCAGATCTTTAAACTTTGGAAAGTCATACAACACCATGAGCAAGAACCTTATGGATTGTACACAAATCTGACAGATCTCGAGTAGATTTAAGATGATTTTACTCTATCAGGGGGAGAAACCCTTTTGATTTTACATCAGCCATATCAAAATGCTGCCAGATCTTTAACTTTCTGATAACTTTACTATCCAGGAAACAAGAACCATATGAATTTTACTTCCAGGTCAACCGTTGCTTGGTATTTATACTTCAGATGAATGTACTTTACTAGGAATAAGAACCCTACTGATTTTACATATTGCTGCCAAATGTTCACCTTTAAGATTATCGTACAACATCAAGGGCAAGAACCCTAAGTGTTTTCCACCTTGCTTGATCTTTGAACTTTTTAGCTGACTGTATTAGTTTTCAACGATATCTGAGCCAGGGATCTCTCCTTCAGTAGTTAAAAAAAATCCTGACATCAGAGCCATCTGATGAGAGGCTAGGGAACTGCTAAAATCCACACCATCACACCACCACCTTCTTATTGAAAAAGTCGATTGTGGTGTTAAAACTCTTCGAGCAACAGATATTTGAACACAAATGTTTCAGCAACACATGTAGGTGGAAAATAATTACAACACTGACAGTCATACATTCTTTATCCTCTGAGTAGAATGACTAACATTACCATATTGAGGATTTGAAAAGAGCTGAGACCATCTCCATGTACAATATGTCCATCTGTCTGTCATATACTGTCTCCAGGTGGCCAAGGCGAGCACAGCGGAAATTCCCACGAGAAATTACCTGAATCACCCCGTTACAACCCTACGTCAAAATCATCTGATTGGCGACTAGGGAAATACTACAATCGACAGGTGATGCCATGATATCACCACTATGCGTTCAGCCCGAGGAAAGTAAGAGCACACTTATGTGACAAACGGCACATTTTCTTGCTGACTGCGTGTTAATTGGCGCTATGATGTCACTGCTATTAAGTGCGACTGAAACTGGGAAAAGAGAAGATGTCCTGGCCTCTGTGAAGCATTCATCAAAACGAGCCAGGACAGAGACGGCAAGGAGTGCGATCTGGTTCTCCCGACATCAAACTTTCATGTCCTCCCAGACGACGACAACCCAGCGACCCCGTGGCCCAGACAAGGAGCACCTGTTTAAATATGCCTCATTGCAAATTTGATGAACGGCTACAGTGTTGGTTTAAAAAAAAAAAAAAAAAAATCAATAATGTATGCTGACATCAGACGCCACGGTAGTACCGACCCTCCGGAGAGACGGCAACAAAAGGAGCCGTAACAAAGGCGGCGTGGAGAAAGTGGAGTTGGTCCGGTTGACCCTGCCGCCCCTCCTTCCCCTTCGAAAAACCACTAACTGACCGCCCCGCCTCCCCAAAAAACACCACAAGGAGCTGTCAAGAGCCCTCATAAATTCATCAGGCATGAAAAGCTGCTTTCCATCTAAAAGGAACTACCCGGGATTCTCCGAGCGGCGACAAAAACACTAATCCGCCGTAAGACAAGTGGGTTCGCACTCGGAGAAAAACAATCGTGTGAGGATTCACATGTGTGGATAATAAGCACAGGAATAGCTTTTTTTTTTAACACATATATTGCTGCTGCTGACTTTTATTGCTGCTTTTGTTCACATTCACATCTGCATGTGGTATATTATTCAGTTTATTGTTGTCATTCCTGTGTAGTTCTCACTGCACTGCCACTAAGTTAGCAGTGCTGGTGTTTTTTTGAGGACACTTAGAATGCTGCTGACTAATCTTGCCGCTAACCACATTCACTTCCGTATTAACGGTATCCATAGATTCATGTACAGTTTGCAGTATACAATATATATAGTGCTGCACAGTATTTATTATTCAGGTACAGTTGCTTATTGATAAATGTATTTTTTTCCCCAAGATACAATTTTGCTGACTATTCTTGCTGCTTTACTTCACTTTCACATTTTCACAATTACTATCTATTCATGTAAGGTTTGCCATTCAGCTTTAGATATATACTATTTATTATTCGTTGACAGTCACTTAATGATACACATCACCAGAATAGTGCCGCTGACTAGTCTTGCTGCTATTCACTTCTAGTATCTATTTACTTTGTGTAGTTTTCCATTTGCATCCGGACATGTATTGTATTTAATGATACTGTCCACGTTCGCTTCTCTGTACAACATATAGATTTATTTATTCCTTTACTATTTAAATGCATTGTATTAAACTGAAACATGTATTGTTCTTTCATGCTACATACAATGCTGCTGACTGTTCTTGCTGCCGATAACATGATTCAATACTCGCCAATGTTAGTGAAATTGCACAACAGCTGTATAAAACAAATTTCTTGTGAAATAAGCATACAAATCCTAAAAGATTACATATTTTTATGAATGAACGTGTCTAGAAATTGTGTTCTTGTGAATCAAGTGTTTAAAATAAATATCTTGATTAAAAAACATCCTGTACAAATCATTTTATTATAAAAATAGTCAGATGAATGTTGACAATGTATAAAAAAATATGAACCACACATACTTAAGAGATCATATTTAATGATGTAGAATCTTTATAACATATGATATCCATATTTTAACAATAATTTTGGATCATGAAATAAATCCCCCCCCATCAAAGCAATATGAATAAAATAAATAAAACGAATATCTGCTAGGCTGCACTTGAGAGCCATTTGAGCGTTAATGAATAATAAAGGCCTCTTCATTAAAGGCGCTCCAGCAACAGTCTCAATTAAACAGCAAATGAAAGTGTTCATTAAAAAAAAAAACAATTATGCGCTCAAGCCTGCCCAATGCGAAACACACGCACAATAACACACACACACACATACTTGGGAGTTTTTTATCATCTCCTCGACATTGAAAGAATCCACAAAAGACAGCAATCAACAGTACAGCAAGGACCTTTTTGTGTTTGTCAACCTGCTCTGCAGCAACACATCTCACCTGGCCGCTCAACACTGCCCCCTCTCGCCCGCCACCCGCCCCTGACAGCCACTTGAACACTTCCAACAACTATTTTCCTTTGTTTGACAGGTTAACAAGAAGACAAACGTATTTGAAGATGAAATTTAGGGGAAAAAAAATTAGCTGTATAGGGAAGAATCATTTACGGAAAATGACAAACGAGGCTGCTTTCAATGCACACGAAGTCATAAAGAAAGATTCGGGCTAAAATGCATCTCAGCTTGACAATCAAACTGCATTTTTGAATCAAATTAACGCTAACTAATGAGCTGTTGAACGCAGAATCACTCGTGAAAATGATTATCAAGGCTGCTTTCAATGCACGTGGTCCCAGCAAATGTTTGTGATTAAAAACATGCAATTTTGGCAGGCAATAAATGCATTTACCAGCCCCCTAGAAGGCATTTCTGCAACGGGTTTCAAGTGTTTCTCAACAGCCTTTAAAAGCGCTTGTCTTTGCTAAGTTTTGGGGGTGTCCACTCGAGTGAGGCCAGCTGCCACCCACAAACACCCCTCTGATGGCGTGATGCAACGTGAGTGGAAAGTCAAAACTGGAGCCGCAAACGGGTCTCACGTGCAAGACGCACAATTGATTTGAAAAAAAAGTGTTGCAAGTTCGAAAAATGAATATGCAGAACCACCACTATCCAAAAACAAAGTGCCTCCGCAAAAGTGCACACAGGTAGAAACAAAGACCACCAACTTACCTTCTCAGATGTTCCTCAACGTCCAAAAATGATAAGAATGACGTTAATAATTTTGACGGTCGTGGTGGGTCCAGAGAAGCGGCGCGTCCCAGATTCAGGTGTCCGCCAAGATCGTCCCTCTCTCGGCGACCTGCAGCGGAAGACTGCGCCGAGCTCCTCCGCGAGCTCCGGACCAAACCACCTCTGCGAGGATGGTGGGGGCCTATTTGCAAGGCGCGCGCCTTTGGGGAAGTGTTGCGCGTGCACGGAGCACCAAGTGAAAGGCGTGCAGCGTGCACTCGCACACCTGAAAGGAGGGGGACGACGTGACCTCGTGGGAATTTTGACGTCATGTTGTTGTGCACGGGCTGCGAGTCTCGATTGAATTGGAACAACAAAAGAGTCGGTCGGAAGACATGAAATAATGTAGTTCAGTCTATAAATTATTAATTATTCTACATGATATATGTTATCCATATCGACCCTTTTATATAAATGGAGGTGTGTAAGTCATCGACGTCATTATAGATCACTGTCAAGTTCCCATTTTTCACTGATTGTACAAATATCGTTCTGCAACATACAGTAATGATGTTCAATCCGTGAAAGCACACCTACAAATACATCAGAGAAATGATTATACGTGGCGATCTTTAACTGTTTTGTTTTTTCGGCGTATCGTGTCTAGTGGTGGCTTATACGACGTACAAAAAAGGGTGGTGAAGTTAAATTGTACATTAGGATTGATTGCACATAGCATTTTAAAATTGGAGCAAAATAAATAAGTACATGCAAATGTCATGAACTTATTAATGATTAATTTAATTAAGAAAATCTTCTTTTAAATATATATTTTACACTTAAAAAACAGATATCGTTTTCTCTGTAAAAGCTCCTGAGAGCTTCATTTCAGACATGTCTACAGCCGAGACACTTAATTGTCTATTAATCAACACGATAATATCCCAGTAAATTACGGCGTGCTGTTTGGTGAGTACTTGCCGTCAAATAGAATCATTTATTTCCTCTCCCTGTTTCTAATCAGACCAAACAGGAGGAAGAAGAGCTGATAGAGATATAATTAAAAGTGATTCACCGTCTCGTTAATTTGCTTATTACTTTCGGCGAGGCCCAGTGTGTGTATAATTGCCTTTCAATGTGCTTGCAAAACAAACGCGTCTCTTCCATCTCCTAGTAACGATGAGAGGCTGGCAGGTGGGCCAAGTTCTGGTCTAGACTACATTTCCCATCAGGCCTTGCGCGTTGGCTCCGGAAGATGCCACCGTGAAGTGACTGCGCATGCGCGCCCAGACGTGGCAACGCAGCGGCATCATGGCCTCTCGGAACACCTACGGGAGTCTGATGAGACCGGGGAAAATGCTCGGCTTCCTACTCCTGGTGAGTCCCGGGGAGGTTTCTAAGCATTTAATTAATAAATGAGGACTGTTTGATTGAATGGTCGTCCTGCTGCGACCCACGTGATTTTATGGCATATCTCGTGTTAAGGAATCCAGTTTAAGCTAGCCTGTCAATGGAGAGGAGGCTAGTTGAAGTTGACAAGCTGGACCCAACTTGGTGACCGCATCTGACACGCTTGTGGCGGGTGTGTGGTACCGAGAGATCCGCAAGAAGAAGCGGCCGTCTGTGTGGCACTTCAGGCGTGGGTTGACGTGCGCTTGGCGGTCGCCCACCTTCGTCGAGCTAGCGGGGAGGTCATTACACTAATGAGGTTGGTCTCAAAGTAAGACAGAGAGAAAGGATGGCGACGTGAAGGATGAATGTGAACGCTAATGTGAGAAAAGAAAACGAGAAGGAAGGGAAATGCAGAGGATTAAGGACAGAGGGGAGGTTGGAGGAATAAAAAGGAACAAGAATGTTTGAAATGTAGGTGAGAAAAGAAGAAATGAAGGCTATTGTTAAGACATTTAACAAGGATGGAAGGAACGAAAGAGACAAAAGAGGATAATGGAAGTAAGCGTGGAACGGTCGTAGGAAGAAAGCAAACAAGGATAAGTGAAGAGGTGGAAGGAAGGACAAATGAAGTTAACAAAGATGTCTCGAAGGAAGGATAAAGAAAGACCGTTAATAAGGTTGGTGGGAAAAGAAGGAAAGAAATGAGGACAAAGAAAGTCAGAAGCAAGGATAAAGGAAAGATGAGTGAAGGCAGGAGGATCAAAGGTGGGAATAAAACTTACCAAGGATGCAGGAAAAGACCAAAGAATGATGGAAGGTAGAAGGAACGATGGTTGGAAGAAAACTAAAAACTCCAAAGTGAATTCAAAGACTTATTTTCAATATACCTGCTTGAAGTTAATTACTGAAAATGTGCAAAGACTGAACTGTGTAGTTCTGAATAGTGGAGACCAAGCACTGCTTTTCACCATTTCAGTTTACCTGATTTTAAAAAAAAAAAAAAAAGCATATTTTCTGGGTTGCCTGCTGAGATGGATTCAAATGTCCGTGCTATGCCCGCTGATTCGCTAAATGAGGATCTCAGTATGTCCTCCTAATTTGCAGCCAATCAATGGACCTGTTCATTTTTTTACGGGTCTGTTTTGGAGACAATACTCAATAGCATAAAATTGGACATCGTGTAAGCAACTTTGACAATAATATCGACATATCAGCCACCCCTACTTAAAATGTGGCTGATGATGGCGCAATACTGGGTATGGATACTTGCCCATCCCTACTTAGGACCTTCTTGGACGCCTCTCTGGTGAGGTGTTCTAACAAAGTTGCTTCGTAGAGCTCAGTTTATGATTCCCTACTCAAGTTGCCGCCCCCGCCAGCAGAACAAAATGGATCAAGGTATTGTCTTGACTCTTATGACTGAAAATTTTCAATCAATTCAGGAATTCAAGCAGGGCTGTTTCAGGATGGCAAACATTTACTTCTATAAAACCAAGGCACCATAAAATAAATTGCTTTCCCGTTCTTATTCAAATTATTTGAAAATGACCCAGAACGTAATAGTATTTGACCCAATCCTGTCCCTACTTCGCCTTCGGCAAACAGTAGTGGTACAAGGGTTAGTGTGTGCTGTTTTTTTTTTCCATTGTGTGTTTATGTACACATAATGACTCACTTTGTACTCACACTTGCACACACACATTACGCGTTACGGTGCAAAGGACTTTTACGGCCACCTTAGAAAGAAAAAGGAATTATGTGGGGATAAAACTGCGTTTTTAAGAGGTGGGGGCGCAGGGGGGAGAGGGGGGGAAAGTCATGTGGGATTGGGGGTCGTAATGGTGTGATATTAAAGTCATATTTTCTAGTGATGAACAGATGTTAAATTATCAAATGAAGGTCATGTTTTTTAGAGGTGTCGTAATCGTATGAGAGTCGTATTAGACGTTAGAAGTATTTAGAGATTAAAGTTGTATTTTATTTCGGAAAAAAGTCAATTTTTACAGTCAATTATATTTTTTATGAAGAAAAAAAAGTCAATTTTTACAGTCAATTATATTTTTTATGAAGAAAAAAAAGTCAATTTTTACAGTCAATTATATTTTTTAAAGATAAATAATCCAGGAATTAATGTGGTCAAACTAGCTTTTGTTTCAATGCTGTTCAGTTGAATTTTTAAAAAAAAATTAGATTTCATATTTCATATCAAGTTATTAATCATTTTTATGATTATTATTTAATTATTAAAGTTGTTTTGTACAGTATGTATATTCTTGAACAAATAATTTCTCCCAAAACTCCAAATTTACATTATTCTTGAAGGACATGACTTTTTTCAGGTCTCTTATTTTTCCTGTTCTCAAAATGCACTTTTGTCTTTTTTTTTTTTTTAAACAAAAAAAAAATCTTATTATTAAATTTTAGTCAGATAACGACTTTTTTCCCCTCGTCCATTATTTATCTGGTTTTTTTTTTTGTCTTTCTGGTATGTTATGTGAGGGTCCTGTAGCTTTTCGCATATGAAATTTGACACAGAGTGAAGGTACAGCAGAAGCAAGCTGGCACGAGTCATTATTCAGAGAAGGCAGAAGGCTCTTTTTTTTTAAATCAAATTCCTTAGCGATTTATTCCGATGTACTGTTTCCTCCACCGAGCGTCTGCCTTTGATTAAGCGCATTTGTCACAACAGATGGAGGACGACATGATGCTGCGGGGCAGAGGTGCAACACCTGCTGCCTGCTCGATGTATCGTCCCACGCCACGTACCTGACCTGCAAGGCGCGTGCATCACCGTAGAGGGACGCTGGGGATTTTTTTGAAAATTCGGCCCGTGAAGGCAAATTCAGTTATCTATGTGAAATTTGTTCGCCACGTTTATCACAAGGCGCCGCACAAAAATGTCACAAAAGGTGATACCTTAGCTGACGCGGGAAGTTAAATTTTTATTAATATTGATCACACATCTATAGCGATAATGCGTATTGATCTTGAATTATCTCCCAGCCCGACGCCGAAGCATTTCAGAAACCACGTAAACGCTTTGCTCTTCGGTATTTCTGGTGTTGTGATGATTGATCATCCCTTTTTCCAATGCAGAGCGCAGCTTGTGTTTGTCATGCCGCCGTAGTGCGTGTCGAGCGCGCCTCACTCCATCTTCACGCAAATGTTTGTGTTTACACGTACTGTATCGAGCGTGCCGCGCTTCCGCCTGATGGTTTGATAGCCCGTGTGGCAGTGTGTAGATGCTCCACGACCCACACCATACACAAGCCCATTCCACTGATGTCTCTTGTACGGTGCGACGCCGCGCTTACGTGCAGTCAAGGGTTTGATGAGTGTTTACTTGTACCCTTTAAACTCGCTGTTAATGCAAACATCAAAGGCAGCCATCAAATTCATGATCCGGTGGATGGCACTCAAGCTTGACGTTTAGGTAAAAAAAAAAAAGTGAAAAATAAGTCTCAAATCCTAAGAGCACACAATTTCATGTCTTACTCAGAAAAAATGGTAACATGCTGATACTGCCTCTGGATGTTTGACCGCATGTCCTGTGATGCCCTCATGTTCAGAGATTTACCCCATACTCCTTTTTTTTTTCTCCCCATTTTGAAGTGGTTTATTGGAAATGGCCTCAGAACAACAACAATAAGCAGTAAGAATGTCCCAGTCACATTTTTTTTTTCCACTCGAGGACTAGTCGTGTCACCTGATTTTAAGTATCGCCTGATCCTCATCAAATAAAACCATCAAAGCACAAATATGGTTGGCACCCCCAAATTTTTGCTGTTTTGCTGTAATTCGCCCTCCTCTGATCTGGATGGGGTTGCAGATCTGTTTTGTAGTATTCTTTTGGTTTGCCCTGACCGTCAACCGTGGAAACAAAAGTTTGTGGGCATATCTCTTGCTCTCCAACCTCAAGCTTTCTGGGAAAAAAAACTGCTAGTGTGTAAGGCTCTGTGAATTCGTCAGTGTCCCTTTCGCTTGCCGTAGTGTGAGCGAGCGGGGGGGGCCTTGGAAGCGGCATCATGAAGCAACGCTGCTGCGTGCAAACAATGCACTCGTTTGACTGTCATTATTTGCATCCACAAATGAATATTTGACAGCGTGAAGGACGGAATACGTGATAACTGGAGTAAAACAGCGGCCAGATGAGAGGAAACAGACAAAAAAAAAGTAAATGACAACAAATATCGCAACGACACCACCTGCTAGTATAAAAGTGGGAACACAACAGCAATAACAAAGGACAAGTGCAATTAAAGAGCACATGTGAGTCGACAGAAAAGCGACACAACAAAAGACAACACCAGCAATAACATCTTTTAATATTAAGTTTTAAAGTAGGCGGACAGAGAGAAGTGAGACGGGGAAAAAGCAATAACACCTGCTCGTATGTAATTTGACAGGGGCGGGACAGAAAAGACAACAAAAAGCAATAACAAACAACCGTGGCAAGAACAACGCCTTTTTTTTGTGACTTATTTCTCAAGTGACCAACGTGCCCCGCCAAGCAAACGGCGCCGCTTCCGGTCGATCTCCCGTCGTCTGTAAGATCTTCTGAATATGACGCAAATCAACGAGCAGCCCGGTTGGTCAGTAAAATGAATAAGCGAGTGCGAAAGCTACCCGTGAGAACTCTCATCAAGTCCAACTCTCGCTCGCCATTTGCCATCGAAAGCGTTTCCCGGCGTGCATAAATAGCAAGCAGGCCAATTAGAGTGCGCGCGGTTACCTTTGCTGCCTCAGCTTCTCCGCTCGGATTAAATTGTCTCTGCGTGCCGCCGTCCGCCGCCCCGGCCATTTGCTGCCATTTGCCGGAGCAACTTTAGGTGAAGGAAGCTGAAAGATGCGCTTAAGACTTTTAATGACATCTTTTAACGTCGCTATTTCTTGGCGCATTACAGAGCACGCAGAGAACAAAATGTGCGGCTTGCTGGGACAGGTGCGTCGTTACTTTTCAGCGTCCGAAAACATACCCGAGCCAAAATATTGGAATCTTTGTGCCATTGTCAGATAGTTGATAAAAGTGTCTCATTAGGTTATCCTTCTGTCTGAGGTGTGTTGAGAGTGGATTTGTCCCGATAATACGGTCCAAAATAGTTCGGGCCGACAATCTACGTTCAATATTTGCGACCCGAGCGGACAACGCACAATACGACCAAAGCTGTCTTTATCAAAGATGACAAATATTTTAAGATCTGAAAAATCTTGGCGTGCGAGATGTGCGGTGGACGAAAGATAAAATTGCCTCAATGACTTTGGGTTTGATGTTGCCGAGATCAGCGGCTTTCTTCCCGCTGACGACGCTCTCCGCGCGTATTACAGATCATGACCTCGCTATTCTCATTATTTATCACGGAGGCCGCTAATATGCTACGTATTGATTGGAGAAAGCGGCCAGATCATCATCCCCTGCGGACATTTTTCCTGGCTCTGAAACACAGTTTCGAGTCATTTGTCTTTGTTTCACATCGCCAGGTGTTGCTAACATCGGTGCTGGATGCAGTGAAGGTGTCTCCCCTAATCGAGAGGGTCAGCGACCACAAAGACTTGAAGAAACTGCTCAGGACGAGGACCAACGTTCTGGTGCTCTACACCAAGACAGGTACAGAGTCTAATTATTGTCCAAGCCTGTAGAGGAATCGAATAAATAACCCCTTGGCCTTGGCCTGAAAGCTCTCTTTCAACACCATTCCCACCAACAGTCGATACCATTTTTTTCCCCCTCCCGAATCAAAGCACAGAACTGATTTGAAAGGTGAGCTGTCCCAAGATGGTGGCAAACATCAATGCTTTGGATAGGGCGGACTGAAGGAGTCAGACAAAACGTCAATTCCGCGACATAGCGTGTCGTTGTCTAGTACGGTATAGTATTGATAGCCATAGCATCAAACGCCGAGTTTGTCCAGTGGTAACTCAGCAACTCAGCAACAAAACATGGTTGCCACTGATATCGCGCCCCCTCCCAAACTGCAGCCTTTGCAATCTGAAAGTTGTATTTTACAAAAAAACGGACAATGAATGAGTTTTCTATGATGGCATTTTAGCTTGACTGTTAGCATTAGCACTGACAATGTTTCTCAAACGAAATATGTCTTGAATTGATATATCACGGCTGTCCTATGAAACACACATGTCCATTTGTCATTAAAAAAAAAGAATGGTGTGTGTGTGTGTTTCAGACATCACAATAGCACTCGTATTCTAGCTAGCCGATCCGCTCTTCTACAGAGTTGTCTGTGTCGGCGTCCGCTCGTCCCCACCTTCCGTCTGGTCCTCACCATTGTATAATTGTTGAAAGCTGATGTAACACGACTCCAGCTAGTGAAAGACGGGAGAGCCGAAAACCCCTCAACCCAAACTCAGCGTTCTCTTTCTTCCTTACGACGGAGGTCCCTCGGTAACCCGATGCTTCCTTTTGGAATGGGAGCATGTCCTCAGAGGCTGCTTCTTCTTCTTCTTCTTGTTCTTGTCTGGCCCACAGCTACATCCAGTGACGCCTACCTGAAGCTGCTGTCCGACGTGGCCCAGACAGTCAAGGGCCAAGGCACCATCGCCTGGGTCAACTGCGGGTATGTACTAGGACCAGGTTTTTGCTGACTCAGATTGAGGCATGGCTAGAAAGGAAATAATTCAGGAATGAATGTTCCTCTTTGTAAAGCCACCAACTGGTCTGCCACATGTGCAGAAGAAAATCCTTCCCTGCTCCCCTCGGACCGTTTGAGGGAGTGATTCTTTTGCAACTTAAATACCGCAATCGCAGTTGAAAATGACAGCTAACTTCAAGTGACTGCTTTCATGATGTCAGAGAACCTTTAGAGCTGCAGGCGACCCGAAATCAGATGGCGACAGCTGGATCGCAATTTTATATGCTGGAAAAACACTGAGAAAACTCCAAAGGATTCCCGATTGGGTCCTACAACCAAGATCTCATTGACAGCAATTTCAAGGGTGGGGCATTTTGAACTGTCGGAATGTCTCTTCCTCCCTCGCCATCCATCTGCACAATTTACCTTTTTTTCCCCCGCCTGTCATACGAGCGCTCGTTGACAGGCAGTTTATAAATGACTTGATTGCCTCACACCTGACAACTTAGCGTGAACATCTGCAGCTTGCTGCCAGAGTTTCTCTTTACCATCAGCTGGGACAGACCTCAGAGGACGCCTCATACAGGAGGCAGGTTTGTTGAGCATAGAAGTGGCTTCCGTTCAGAACTCTTGGCTTTGAAGATGAAAGTCTTGTTTGGGGAGTTTTTTTGAGACGGGACCGTGAAGGATTGCGCACTTGGATGTCGTTGAACTGGTTCCTACGCTGTCTTAGACTGGATTTACAAAGCCACTCCAAGCCATTCTGCAGTTCTTTAAGAATCCTACAATACTATAATAGGGCCTTATGATATTTTTTTTTTGCTTTAAGTTGCAAGCAAGTTGCCACTTCACAGTTGGCATTTGCTATTTTTTTAGACTAACTAAAGACGTCTTTGGCATTGACGCCGCGGTAGCGGGGATGAGATGAGCAAAGACTCATTTGCATTAGACTAGGACCCCCCCCCCCCCCCGAATTTTCCGTTTCTCGGGCTTTTATTGAAAGAATGAGAGGGCTTAAATTTGATTGACGAGGCCTTCGAAATTCGTCAACCTGCATTTACTCTGCATCAATTGATTCATTGTTATGGAAAAGCACCACAAACCAATCTCCCTTTCTCAAGTAATAAACTCGAGCAATCTCGCTCCAATCGTGCTTTCATCCACTTGTCCGCTTATTTCTGGTTGCAAAATGGAGCAGTCGGTTGTCGCACTCCTACTTCCTTTCTTCATTTTTCCCCCTTTGAGGTAGTTGTCAGCTGTCTTTCGAGCCCACACTTGTTTACATTAAACACATGTACGACGCTACCGAGAAACCGCCGAGAAATTGTCTTTTACACACCCGTCATGAACTGACTCTGACGTGTTGTTGTTTTCGCCTTTCCCTGGCTTTATTTTACGTTAATCCACCCCCACCATCCGCCAACGCCCCCCGCCCCCCCCAACCTGTCAAATCATCATCCGCTGTCTGAGCGGAAAAACAAAGAGTGTATCATCAAGCGGGAAACTGCCAGGAAGGAAGCGACTTCCCTTTGAGTCCAAATGAAACGCTCCCTGCTTTTTTACTCTTTAAAGTGAGTCAGGTTTGACTCTGCGTGGGCACCTGTGGTATTCTCTTCCCTCTCCAGCAATTCCAGCAGAGCCTGGCTCACATTGCCTCCCTCGGGGGAAGCTCAAACAAGCCGGGTCCAACGCGGTGCCACCCGCGGTTCTGTCGCCAAACACTGCGCCTTCTGGCATACGCGCCCGCCGTCGCGATTGGAGCGGTTCCAAATGATAGCTCGCGGTCTGAGCTCATGGCCGACAGACAGAGCGAGAGAAGGAAGAAGAAGCGGCGGTGAATGGTGGTGTGAAACATGTCAGCCGTGCCAACACCACCAGTCCACAATGACATACTGGGAGCAGATGACCAGGAACTTGCTTGTTGGCCAAGTGGCATCCAATGGAGAAATGAATTATCTCATTTTGGAAGCTACACTCGCTCCAAAGGGAGGTTGTGTGTGCTGAAAGGCCGTTATTCATAACAGCCACCGTCCTGGCCAGTTATTCATGATAACTGCCATCCAGCACAATACAAATACACTTGAGAATACCACGAATAATGCAAAAAAAGAATTCACCACACACCCGCACAAAGCGGATCACAACGTACCTACCATAGAAATGCAATTATTTTGAGGTGCAGCTAATGATTCTTTTGATAATCAATTCATTTGCTGATTATTTTATCAATTAATCATGCCATTATTCAAAAACAGGACATTAATTCAAATTGACAGTTTTAAAATTGCACAAGCATAAATTAAGATTCAGTCTCTTGGGTCCGTAACATGTCAGAAAATGGGCAAAAATGTTGATCATTGATTTCCAAAGTAAAAGCAAATCTTTCATTTTGATTCAACACAAAGATCACTCTGTGTTCATGGCAGAAATCAAGACAATATTTACTGCACATTTTTAAATTAAAGAAATTGAAGCAATAAATCGATTCTCACAAATAATTCTCGATTAATTTGTCAGTCGATGAGTTGTCGATTCATTGTTGCAGCTCTACAGCTAATGAAAAAAAGCGACTTTGCACAAGAGATATAAACAGGAACACAAAAAAAAAATAGAAATAATTTTTCAAAATAAACTATGATGTGATGCGTCCCAAACGGGCACATGCATGGCCACATGTCACATTTGGTATTGTTAAATAGGATCGCGTCCCTCGCCAGATAGTCTTTAAAACCTCCATCTTGCACAACAGTAATAAACAGAATTATAAATAATACACGCTCAAAAAAGTCCTTGGGACTTTGAGACACCTTCATGATTAATGCGATGCGCCCTCTTGCCTGTTAGTCATGATAACCGGCACCTTGCAGAATAGAAATAAACACATCTGCTCGATATAATCTACAAAGTCAAAGCAATGTTTTTATAATAAAGTGATTTCAAATCTGGCACGGTTGAAATGATCGAGTGCAAGTACACCCTTCAGTCACAATGAGAAACCTTGATATCCAATACAAAATGGCCGTGGCAGCAGATGAACGTGTACAAAATGGAGGTGGATGCTTTTTGGTCGTTAAGCTTTTGTCAAGCTTGAGCTTGACGGGTTACAGGCCGTGGCAGATGCGACTCGGGTCGCTGGTGCCATTGTGACCCGTGTATCAAGTTGAAAACACCAGAGGGCTGAAATCAGATAAGACGGCGTCACTGTATCTGTAAATCTGACATTTTAGAATCCTAAAATTGACGTGTATGAATGCTGGACATGAAAATGGATGCTGTCTTTAAATCAGTGCGAAGGGCACACCTGCTCCTATTGTGTCCGGGACCCCGTAACCTCCTCCTCATATGGAATCGTTTATGAGCTGCACTGTTATTTGTCACCACGCGTGCTCTGTTGTGTTATTGAAGAAGCCGCGCGCTCAGTTAATAGCATGTGTAGGTGGGGAGATGCATATTTATTTTCAGGACCAAAAATAAAACACTTAATTGTCGCACGCTGTGCACAGCATATACGATGGGCAACCCACCAGCCACCTCACGCTGTGCACTTGCTTACTGTAATCCAAATACAAAAGGTCCATTAAAGTGCAGATAATAATGTTCACTTGGGATTGACACAGCGGTCAGATTTTTTTTTTTTTTTTTTAGGGCCAGAGTATGCGATGCCAAATGGCTGTTTCCTTGAATTGTTTTGCAAATGTAGCCCCAGAAGCCATTATAGCTTGAAGCAGCCATTTTAAGGTTATTTTGGCCATTTCCAGGGGTCTTTTAATCATGAACACAGAGCTTTTGTGCGATTGCTACCAAATTTGACAGGCAGACAAGGGCGAATTGGGAAACATTTTCGTTTTGTTCATTGCTGGTGGGCGGAGGGTGGCAGCCCCAAGTTAAATGACCCGCCATAAAACATGAAACTAATCACTGAGCTCATGAATGATTTGGAAATTCAGCCCTTTGAGCACGTGTCGTCTTCTTTAGCAACGTAGAATTTAATAGGCATCTTGATCATGAGTAGACCCACAAAAAATTATTCTCAAGAATCCACAAGCCACATGAAGTTGGTTGGTCATTTTGATTTGAAGCAGCAGTTACAGGGCGATTTTTAGCATTTTGAGAAGTCCTTCAATGACAGAGACCTTTTTTTTAATGTCTGATGACTACAAAATTATATGAACCATGTCGACGAGAGAGATGGACATTGCTAAATTGTCGAAACATAATTTTCATCATTGCATTTTAAAGAGAATTTGGATATTTTTAGAATTCAAAATGTTTTGAAAATTCAGCCCCCAAAGCCAGTTCCACTTAGCAAGACGAAATTCGGTACCTCGTAACTTGTCTTTGATTTCTTTTTTTTTTAAGCACATATTGATGGCGTCAGGTGGAATCCATGTGCCTCCAAAATCATCCATTTCCAGGAGACTCCTAAAACGGCATGTTTGTTAAACCATTAACATATCGTCTTCTTAAGATAACAAGCCATTTTTAATACTTTAATACTAGACTGGCCAATAATTTGTAAAAACAGTAACACTGACACATGTGGACTGACCCCAGCGATACACCAGACACGTGATTGACGTTCAATTGAGAGACATTTTTTTTTGGGCCATCGCCTGTGGTCGGAGCACGGTGGTAAAGTTTGATGACTCTCCATTAAATACAAACTCTAATCTGTGTAAGAGCTTGACAGAAACCTCTCTCGTAAGATGATTGCCACGCCCTGAAGAGATTCTTCTCACTGGCAGAAATGAACAGACTCAATTAAAAATATAACAAGCCAAGGGGACGTTCGGGGGGGTGGTGGGGGGCGTACAACTGCTGTTGGCTGTTTTTGTAAACCATTTAATACAAACTAATTGTCTGCCTGAGCGTCTTGGCACTGTCTCCCTCCTCCATCCGTCTTTTCTCCAACGAGTTGTCCTCCACAAGAGAGGGTTTATGTTTTGAAAGCCAGCGACTGTTTCTCTCAAACAAATGACCGGGATTGGTTCTCATGGGCCGTTTTTCATTTACTTATGGTGAATTATTTTGGCCTGAAGTTCGCCTGCTTCCATTATCTTGGCGTCATAAATTACAATCAGGTCCCTAATTTAGCAGGCGCCTTTGTCCACAGCGTCTCTGATGAAAACAAGTGTGTGCAGCATATCACAATGTTGTTGTTTCTTCTCCTACCGCGCATTGACCAAACAATTACCCTGCAGGAATGCGCTCAAAAAGTGCAATTAATGAACATCGATGGTGGTCTCAACGCAAATGGAATTTCTAAGGTTGAACACGATCCGGTCCACCTTTTTCCAAATAACTTTTCCTCAGGAGAAAATCATGGGAATCGGGGTCGGACCCGAACAAACTCCTTCTAGGGAATATGCCCAAATGCCACAAAAAAAATTGCAGGGCACACAGAGACAAACAACCATTGGAGCTCACAATCACACCTTTCAGGAACAGCGGTTATTGCAGTGGACAGCTGATCATGTTATCCGGTTATAGGTGTGCATGAAAGGGTTCATTTCCAAGTATGTGAGTGGCTTTTTTGTTTTTGTTTTTTTTTTTAACGGGGATCTGCTCAGAGATTCGGAGGGCCGTAAGCTGTGCAAGAAAGTCAAAGTTGACCCCGGCTCCAAAAGCAGCGCTGCCGAGCTGCTGCATTATAAGTAAGTCAGTCTGAAACTCGATAATTGCTCCTCTTCTAACTTCACCAACATCATTGTTCACTCCTCTGATGCATTTTTTTTTTTTTTTTTTTAAACAGAGATGGAACCTTCCACACGGAGTACAATAGGCCTGCCACCTTCAAGGTAAGCAGCGAGCTTCATGCCGTTGTTGTTTCGCACAATAGATGCATCAGTGAATACCTCAAGTACTGTTCATGAAGAAACTAACAGTCAAATGAAATGGCTATAGTTAGAGGTACATACATTAAATTTGATCGGTAACTTTATTGCTGTGTAGGACATTAAATATGTCATTGTGGGACATTAGAGGTTCAATAGACTAAACTACAATGTAAATGATGCGAGCCAAGAAGTCTTCACACAGTTATGCTCATAAGCTATATTTAAGGTCTCTAAATATGATACATTTGCGTAACTGTGGTACATTAGAGCTTCTGTAGACACCAAATGATGGAAATAAGCTATGATGTGAAAGTCGTTCACTACAACATCCAACTTTCCTTGTGTCTTGAATTTATTTATCTCATCCGTCTTTCAGTCCATGGTGGCTTTCCTGAAGGACCCCTCAGGGCCTCCGCTGTGGGAGGAAAACCCGGAAGCCAAAGACGTCGTCCACGTGGAAACAGAAAAAGTACGTTTCAAGGACGCCCGGGGAGCATTTTGAAGAAGCATTTTTGATTTTATGGGCCACTCCCAGACAGGTCAGAGGATATTGTAACCTCCACCACCCCCCCTCAAGGACCCTCACAGCAGTTCTGTGAAAACAGGTCATGTCTGAGCTTGTCCGGAGGCTCGCTGACTGGCATGACAATGTCGTGCTGTGTGATGAAAGAGCTTTCGGAGACATTGCGACGAATGTGATGCTTTTATTATGTGCCCCTCACACACTTTTCGTCTGGCTGTGCCTGTTTTGAAGGACTTTAGGAAGCTGCTGAAGAAAGAGGAGAGGCCGCTGCTCATGATGTTCTACGCGCCCTGTGAGTGTTTGCTCAACAACCTGGGCAACTTTTCTTTTGGGGGGGGGGGCGGACTTCTCCCTCCCCCCTGCGCACCAATCGGACCATGAAATTTGGTCGGCATCTCTACATTCTCGACATCCTTTTCCAGGGTGTGGCGTGTGTAAGAGGATGCAGCCCATCTTTCAGCAAGCTGCCACGGAGACAAAGGGGCGATATGTGAGTCTTCTCATCACAAAATCGTTTTGATCTTCTGTTAATTTGTGCGGCTCTTCATCATACCATATGATTTTGTTTATTCACATTGACCTGCAGTAGCGATTGTGATCCTGTTCCTGTTTTGGTCTTCTCTGTGTGTTTGAAGCGGTTCCGTATTTTCTCTGGCTGCAACATTCGACACAAATACGCATTGTTGAGCTCGACATCGCTCCTCTCATCCAAAATTAGATCATCACATCCCCAGATTTTCCATCCTTCCTTTGATGCTTTGACATTGCCATCTATAATTCGCGTTTCTCCTTTGATTTGGGGAATAAAATAATATTTCAGAAGCACTAAGCTGTACTGGCTGGGAAGAAAATAATCACTCACTTTTCACCAAACAAGCTGCACATTGTGTTTTTTGAGTTTTCACTCCATTGAGTGATGATGCCGCTTTTTACCTGTGCTGAAAGTGAGCAAAAATAACAGGAAATATCATTTGGGGATGACGTACAATCGCTTTGTAAGTCTCTCGGCGTTCAGTGACTGTCATAAAAAAGAACAGTGTTATCTTTTCAAAGATGAATTTCTGCTGCGACTCTTGTATGGGAGTATTTGGAACCTGGTATAGTTTTTCATCTTCACTGTGGCCTTTTGTTTTTTATTATATATAAGGTTCTGGCTGGCATGAACGTGCACCCATCCGAATTTGACGACCTCAAGCAAGAATTCAGCGTCAAAGGCTACCCGACCTTCTGCTACTTTGAGTGAGTGCTCCTGGCTTCCTGCATCAGTCAGTGATTTTTGAGACGCTAGACGTGTCGAGTCCATTTATGTCTCCGAAAAATGGCCTCTTGTCTGGTGTCTACTCTGTGTTCGGTCGTCTCAGTGCAGCTTGAAGAATCTTAAGAGCTCCTGAGTGGTGCATTCATTGAGGCTGACAGGTGTTGCCTTGCTCCTAAAGTGTTGATCTTCTCCCAAATTTCAACACCGCCACGACCTTGCTTCTTTCGTTCTTGGCTGAAATGACTTGAGGCATTTCAAGATAACTTTAAACAAACTTTTTGTTTGTTTGGTTGGGGAGGGGGGTTTGGGAGGGGGGTGTTAAAGGGCTTTCTCTGATAAAGATTTTGGAGAGCTGAGATCAAGTCGATACCTCGACTTGAAGAAATTGAAAACAAGAACAAGTCAAGGCAAAGACTTTGACAAAACACCACAGAGTCAAGACCACTCTTTTAAGTCGCCAACACCAAGACTTGAAAAAAGCGAGATCAAGACTTTAAAGAACCAAGACCCAGTCAACAATGACAAGTTAAGAAGGCGAGACCAAAACTGCGAGGGATTGACAACAATGAAAGAGAATGTTGATGGTCACATTTGTGGAAATCTACAAAACTCCAAATTCCTGACTGAAAGAATTCCGCAGTGCCGTTTCACACCGTTGCCAAACCGTCATAACTTTAAATAAACATCACACTGAAAGTGTCACTCAAAAGCGCTTCGGCTTTCAACAAAACATCTGCTGACCCAAAGAGGCTTATAAAACATTCACAGCAAAGTGTTTATTGTCTGACCAAGGTCATAACCAGGCATCTGTTGGTCTGCCAGTTAATTCTCCTCATGGTTGCTTTGGGACCCCCACCACCACCTCAACCAGCCCACGGCTCTATTTGCTCTCCCCTCCGCCGCCACTCGGGGCATCGCGAGCCATTTTCAGATATTGACTGAGTTTGTTAGCAGTGTGCAGGAGCTTAATCATCCCTATTTCCACATTAAACACCCTCATTCCAGCCTGGCCCTTTAATTAGATGAGGACTGATTAAGTGCTTGTGGGGTTAGCCAGGCCGTCTGTGTGTTTGTGCGCATTGTGTGTTTGCCGTCACACACATGCACAGTAAGCAGGGGGCCACATTAACGCCGGTGCCGTGCCAGCTAATGACCATGCCAGCCCAGTGGCTGCAGTTTAAAGAGCATCTCGCTGATAAAACAGCAGCTGATCACTTTTGGACGAAAGCGCTTTCATCAGCTTCGGAGCTATCGCAGCGCCGCACCTGCTGCGAGGACGCGTGTTCTCCACTCATTCAATTTACTCACCTTCTTTTATGATGAGGAACACAGGACTCGTCGGGTTTTTGATGTTTACTGAACCTGATGTGAACGGAAAAGCTGACCTGTGACCAAAAACAAGGCCAATATTTGATAACGCTCGTCATGTTTCCAAGACTGGTCCAGATACAAATACTGTATGAGGTATTGAGACCAAATCAGGACCAAAACTTTGTAGGCGTCACACTAAGTCTAGGCCGAGACATTAAGGGCTTTTGACCATGTCAAGACTTTGAGGGGTTGCGACTGAGGTTAGAGACCAAACGAAGACTAAAATCTTGCGGGCTTGAGAGTTCAACCCATTTTGCAGAACTTGAGACGTGTGGACATGCAACGAGAATGAGGAGAATAGTTGTTTTTGTGATAGGCGTGAAATAAGGGCAGTGCTGTTAAGCCACCAATCAAGGCCATTTTTTTTTTTTTTTGTACAAACCGCAAGCCCTCATTGGAAATATGAACTGTCAAGTTTTGTGTCTTATTTAGAAAGGGCAAGTTCCTCCACCACTACGAGAACTACGGGGCCACGGCCAAGGACATCGCCGAATGGATGAAGAAGTGAGTAGACGCGCCTCCACTATTCGCATCTTTCGGAAACATGTGGAGTGGATGCGTGACACCGTCGTCACCGTCTATGAAATATGCACGTGTGGTCAATACTAAATCTTGTGTTTCATGCTTATACGTGTGTGTGCGGTTCCGCGGCTGTTGTCACGAAGCAATGAAGGTCACAATCTTGTATCGCAATAAGCTGTTTCCTTGAATTGAGAGAGAGAGAGAATTGCATTTTAGTAGAGTGTGCTCGATAATGAGCCCTCGGGAGAGAATTGAATGTGTGTGGTACATAATTGTTGGATTTGAGAAAATTGTCTGTGTATATGTCGTGGGTAATTGTTGTGAGAGCGAGAGAATCGTCTGTGTCTGATCACCGTATTGTGTGTTTGTGTGTGTTGTTATTGCGGATGACAAAACTGAGTTTGTGTGTGCCAGAGACAGTGTGTGAGCGTGAGAGCAAGTGTGTGTGTGTGTGTGTGTGTGGGTGTGTGTTGTGTGTGTGTGTGTGTGTGTGTGTGTGTGTGTGTGTGTGTGTGTGTGTGTGTGTGTGTGTGTGTGTGAGTGTGAGAGAAAGAGATTACTGTGTGACAATTGGGAGCATATGTTCCTGTGTGAGAGAATTAAGAGCGGGGTGTGCGTGTGCTAGAGAGTGTGAAAGAGAGACACACGGGTTGTGTGTGTGAGAGGACTGAGAGCCAGCGAGTATCTGTGTGTCCATGTGCTATTGGCAGTGTACAAGTGTGATGTCATCCAGGCAGGGTGTATGTGTCATAAATGTGTTTATGTATCGTACTTGTGTGTGTGACATTTTGGTTCAGGGTGGACATGTGTCTGATTTACACACACACACACACACACACACACACACACACACACACACACAATCTGGATTTAAACACATTTCGTGTTTGTTTGTTTTTTTTTTTTTTTTTTTTATCAGCCCTCAGCCAGCACAGCCAAAGACTCCTGAGGTGTCCTGGTCCGAGACAGATTCGTCCGTCTTCCACCTGACAGACGAATCCTTCGATGTCTTCATGGAGGAACATCCAGCCGTCATGGTCATGTTCTACGCCCCCTGTAGGTTTCACGCCACACCAAAGGCTCACCATCAACCACCACATGTCAATCCACCACATGCACATTTTTAAATAGCATTATTTATTACTGTATCTTAATGTATGCCTCAGAAGTTGCCCCGGCACAGACAAAAGGCACTTCAGTGGTCCAACTAATTGTGCACCACACACATAAGGATTTCTGATCGTAAATATCAAACAGGTATAACATTTACAATTATCGGGCTCGATAATTTTCTGAGTTAATCGGGGAAGAAAAGCCACTCCTGACGTACCCCACACGGCAGGAAAATCACTTGACACCGCAAGATTTTAAAAATCAGTTGACCACACACACAAGGATTTTCAGTCGTAAATATTCAACAGGTTTAAAATTTACTATTGTCGGCTGCGACTCTTAACACAACCCACATTACAAGATATACACACACACACACACACACCGAGCTCTTCTGGCTGCACTCCAGCAAATGCGTTGCTGTCATTGGTGTAGATTAATGGTTCATCTCCCACCTGCCATCATCTTACATTTTCTGTCCACCTCTCAGCACAAACAATCATGCTCGGCCAGCGAGCTCATCACTGTGCGCATGGCCACAAACAACTTTTATCTTCTGCCCTGTGGCACCAAACAGCAAAGTTTGACAAGATATACACCCTGTCTTGTTCTTGTTTTATGTGTGTGTGTGTGCGTGTGTGTTTTTAACTAGACAACATGAGATCATCCCGCCGCTCACATTTTTGCATCAGCAAGATATTAATACAGATTTTTTTTTTTTTTTTAACAGCAGTACGTCCTTGTTGGCCCCAAGCATAACTGCTGGGAGCACACAGGAAATATCGTCAATGTCAGGATTTTATGCTATTTTTATGCATCATGTTGCAAGAACGTGTCGAATAGACGTGTAACTCAGGTTCAAACATGGATGCGATTGACTTTCAGAACCAAACTTACCTTTGTTTTCAGTCCTATTGTTTAAATACGTTCTCCATCTTAAATGCATGCAATGATTTAAGAACATTTTAACACTCTTAACTGTCATACAAGTGTTAAAAAAAAAAAAAGAGTCCTCCAGTCTAAATGTCAAATGCTGATGTCGTGTGCCACATAAAATGAAACTAGCGTAGCAACCTTCCTGTCAAACAGCTCACAGGGCTGTCACAGAAGATGCAAATCAGCTTGACGCAAGCGTCAAAAGAAGTAAACCAGTCTCATACGTATCAGAGGGCGAAATAAACCTCTCAGACTCACGCCAATAAAATCAACTGCTCTCATGCCAAAACGTCCTTCATACGTACATAAAACATTGAAACCTACAGCTCGCGGATTGTGTGAGAACCTAACATGGCTGCCGAGAGCAGCATAAATTAACCTGTCCATGTGGTGTCTTAGTTTTTTTCATTTTAACACCTTATCATTATCTGTTGCTGCGTGTACAATTGTGAGGATAAAATGAATTTTCCATGAGGGAATCAGGTTGTTACATAAAAAGCAAAGTGCTGTGAAGATCATCCAGGTGAACTGTAATGCCACCAGAGGAAAAATTACCGGGAGTTGAACGCTAGTGGAACTTCTCAGGGACGACGGCGCCGTGTGTGTGCGAGTAGCTTATTGATTTCGAACGGTGTGCAGCGTGCTCGTCGAGGAGAAGGAAGTGCTCTTTGGCCACAATCTGCATGATCGCACGCCTGGCAGCCGCGTCCCTTGTCCGACACGCCGGCTGATTTATAGCCTGCACCAGCGCTGAAGAAAGGAGGCGCTCAACTGTTTTGACAAGGGCAATTTAGCACCTTTGGAAATGTACCAATTTACTTCCACGCGGCGGCGGAGGGTGTATGCCATCAAACGGCCATACGTCTTCAGCAACGACATCTTGTAGAGGCGGCGCGCGACAAATACTGGGCTCGGGCTCTATTAAACGCCTCGGAAGCTGATGTGGTGTTTTTGTAGCGATTTACTGAAAGGGACCAATGTGCGCACTCTCGCGTTCTGGCAGCCTTCTTCATTAAGAAAAGTTTAGCGCCTGGATTCCAATTTGACGCGGACTTAGCACGACATTACGCGAGGTGGCCTTTGTGTACAGTTACAGTTGGGTGCATACTGACACATTGCACAGTGGTTGCCATGACCACACTCTCTCCAATCATCTTTCCCCTTTGAAATGAACCGAAATGCCTTTAAAACATTCTCAATGAATCCAGCAGTTTGGTTGTTTTTTACAAAAATAGAACTCTGCCGTATAATATGCTATTTTATTTTTTAAAAAACATGAAGTTGTGACATGACTAGAATGAAAAGAATTTGACAGTTTTGGACTTTTTGCTACAGTTCATTGGACATCGTGCTGCTGCTTTTGATGTGCGCATCTTGGACACATTCTGTACATGGACATAATCTCTTTGCAGGTTTACATGAAGATCACCTGTCCACATGGAGAGACCAGTCTCCCTGTACACACACACACACACATACACACACACACACTCACGCAAGCGGCGCATGTACACACGCCGCCTATTAAATATACAATGCCTCTATATGGATACACACTTTTCTGCTCTGTTCATTGAGTGAGACATCCTCTTGAAATGTGTGTATCTTAAGGGTGTGGCCACTGCAAAAAGATTAAGCCAGACTATGAAGAAGCTGCCCAAATACTCAACAAAGATCCAAAGGTGATTTATTTTTCTTTTTTTTTTTTTCTTCTTATAGTGTAATGTGACTCTGATTAGTTCATCCCCTCCCTGCTGTTCTCCCGTGTCTAATCTCTGCCTTGAAATGTGCCTTGGCAGAGTCCGGGCGTGTTGGCGGCAGTGGACGCCACCGTCCACAAGGCTGTGGGGGATCGCTTCAAAATTTCCGGATTCCCCACCCTGAAGTACTTTGAGAAAGGACAGGAGACGTACACGCTGCCGCACATTCGCACCAAAGAGAAGATCGTCGACTTTATGCACAAGTGAGGGAGGCACCATTTTGACAAAAATATACAAGTATGACATCACAAACGCACTTTTCTAGTCTACTCGTGATGTCTTCATTGTCTCCTTTTGGTCGTAAAGCAATGGGAAAATGTGCGTCCGGTAGGGGAAAGTCATGGGTGGAGAGGCTTAACTGGGAAATGTACAGGAAGTTTGACATCATTGCAGGCTCCATTCAGGCCAAATGCAGAACGCGACATAAGATCACGCTCCTTTTATAGCGCATGAGATTCTTTCTTAGTTTAAAATCGTAATCATATCCAGAGGAGTTGGGCTAGTCGCTCTCATTTGAAACTGCACAATGTATACGGTAGTCTTGTTTTAACCTTTGAAAAAAGAATTGATGGTAGTCTTTAAAATGTCGACAATACAGTATACTGTATTTCACGGCTCTCCATGCTCCAGTCCGCAGGCCCCGCCGCCTCCGGAGCAGTCCTGGGAGGACAAGCCCTCCAGCGTCCTCCATCTTGGCTCGGAGGACTTCCGAGAGGCCCTGAAGAAGAAGAAACACAGTCTGGTCATGTTCTACGCTCCATGTGAGACTCGCATACTCCCTAACTCGGGGTCGACGTTAAACTTTCAAATCTTTAAAATGACACCTCCTGGTTGAAGTCGGCTATTCGGACTGTAGAAGTTTGAGATCTCATGGCCTCCCCTGGGATCGGCTGTGATCATTTCCTGGGTTTTAACCAAATGACATACGTAAGCCCTAGCCAGTTGCCAAAATCTCCTCATCGTGCGGCATTCGGACTCCGCCTCAGCCCCAGGGAGACGGAGGATAGCCAACAATTGTGGGGAAATAAAGAACACATCACAGGACCACCTGTTTTTAACATGTCCTGATGAACATGGAAGTGTGTAAGAGCTTATTAACCATGAAAATAGCTGAAGAGAAATGAGTCATCCTGACAGCGTGTGTCGGCTTCATGGAAAGGAAAAAAAAAATCTTGGCAGCTAAAGAAACAGCAATCCTCAAATATGTTACCTCATTTTCATGCTTTCAAGTAACAAAAAAAATAACAAAACCAAAATCATCATCTTACTGCGTGGTCAAAATGTCCACGAAGGAACATGAACAGGCAATTAAAATCTGCAACTTAATCAGACTACCTTAAATCTCACTAAAATTGATTCAGGTTAAAATACTCCTCAAGTAAATCCCGGAAAAGTTGCACAGCCTAGCATACGAATACCGTAAAACCTCAAAATTTACGCAGGTTAAAATAATGCTTCCCGAAACCGAAACCCACCCTAAATGTGACACATAAGACTTTTTTTTTTGTATCCCCAAAAAGTTATGCATGTTGCAAAAGACTAACTAAGCTACCAGAACTCCCACAAAAGTTACACCAGTAAAATAAGACCACTATAACCCCCCCCCCCAAAAAAAATCAACCAAATTAGAATGACTTATTTTGAATCCACAAAAAGTCAGCCTTGTTAAAATGTGACTACCTGACATCCCCCAACCAGCAATAGTTGCTCTGTTTCAGGCATGACTACTACTTCGAAACTTCCAACGAGACTGCTATAAATTGTTCAAACAAGGCAACTGTAAATCCTCAACAATGGTGCGCAGTTAAAAACGCCACTCCCTTGTAAATAGTTGCAGAGGTTAAAATACACCTACTTGAAATCCCACCCAAAGTTGCCCGCCATAATATAAGACCACCTTAAATCCCTCAAAATTCTCTCGACATTTTATGTTGATGTTCGAGTAAGATGTTGTCTGTGAATGGAGTCAAAAGTGATCGTGTTTATAGCGCCCATAAAAAGATGGACTGTGCGCTTACACGGCAGTGAATCCGCTCTAAGGCCACATCAACACCCTCGGTAGCAGCGCATGGAGTTGACAAATGTGTGTTGTGGACCGGTGTGACACTTTTGTCGTCTTCCTTGGCAGGGTGTCCGCACTGTAAAAACGCTGTCCCTCACTTCACGACTGCAGCGGAACTCTTCAAAGAAGACCGCAAAGTGAGTCCCACACTGACGCGCTTCACCTTCAAAAGTACACAACTACAAAAACACCAGAAGTGAGCATTATTATTTTGGTTACGCTAGATTATTTATTTATTTTTTTAAAGACCTTATTCTCTAGTTTGTTTTGGTGTAATATTTTGGGAAAATGACAAAATAAAATAGAATTAACATATGAAATTGACAAGTCAAAGAATTCGATTAAACATCCGTGGGTTACTCGTAGTTGAAGGCACCCTGGTAATATAACGTACATTTTGCACGCTAACAAAATACATTGAAAAAGATTTTCCTAAAATGCATTGATCGGCGAATCTTTGTAAAAATGCTTGATGAAAGTTTACTCGCAAATGGAAAAAAAAAAAAAGATCATACAGCCTCCTCACAATGTATCTGCAGACTCACCCTGTTGTTTTTCTTTTTGGACCGAGGTAAGTTCAAAAGTTGAGCGAGCGCTCTTGCATCACGTCTAATATTTCTGGGCGCGTGTCAGCAAGGAATGCGACAAAGCCAATCAAACCGCGGTAGGCGAGGCACGCTTACAGGCAGTCACGGGAGGACACCTCCGTCTGTCCTCTATCAGCGCATAATAGCTCCCGACTCACACGTCGCGAGCGTGTCGTATTGCGCTTGCGTCAGGACGCACTCGACCTTTTTGAGACTGCTCGTTTCTCATTTGCGCGGAATTGCTTTTAAATTGTTGTCAGATGGCGTCTTAGTCAGTGAGGCGCTTTTCTGAGGCAACCCTCCCGCAACACGCCTCGGTAAACGTGCAACACAACAAGCTTTCAGGGCCCCGTGTCATCGTTGTCACTGTTGCGGGTTGTTAGGTCACCCCTGGCAAAAACAGCTTCTCTACCGCGTCAGCCAAGCGGAGACGCCCTGCACCTCAGAAAACAACTACTAACAAAACGGACCACACCAACAAAGTCTTCTTGGCACTCTTCCTTCCACCGTGCAGGAAATTAGAATGTTGCTAGCATTGGAACCACTGTTGACATTTTTGTTAGTTTCTTTTTGTTGGGGATTGGGGGAGGACGGGTGGAGGAGGGGGGGGTAGTTGCCAGACGGGTCGGAAAAGTCACTACATAGAGCGAAAAATCTTTTAGTTCGAAACAACTCCTGCTCTCTACCTCATTTGTACTAGCGTCCATATGTGCGCACATAAAACAAAAAAACCCAAAACTTTCAAAATAAAAGTGCCACCTATTTTAACGTTTGACTTTGAGTTTGTGCTCAAAGGGGGCCGGTCCAGAGACTGCGGGCAGGCCGGTTGTGGCCCCGCAGCCGTACTTCCACATCTCTTTTCGATGACTCCTTATCGTTTTGTTTAAAATGCATATTTCCTGAAATGACTGCAAATCGTCCAAAAGTTGTGCATGTCACAATGAGACTTCGGTAAGTCCCCCCCAAAATTGTACAGGCTGAAATAAAAGTGCCTAAAATCCCCCAAAGTTGTACAGATGAAAATCAAACTACCGTAAATACCCCTCCCCAAAACTTACAATAAGAGAGGAACTTGGAAGTGGACTGATGGCTTGTTTTGCTGTCGTGACAGCACTAGAATTCAGTGTCCTCCGAGGACAATATGTCTCCACTAGTGCTGCCTCCCTCCTGTCAGCCGTAATGCACTGGACTGTAACATATTGACTTGTTAGAGCGCCTCCTCCTCCTCTGAACAACACCCCCCAACCCCACTTGCCACTAATCAATGATGACCTCACCCGAGTTCGTCATTGGACGCTCGCTGAGCTGAGCTCCAAGACAAATATGCAGCATGCTGACGTGACGTATTTTGTGCTTGATGTATTTCCGAGCGTGAAGGAAGTTGCGCCTCGCTGCGTGTTTCTCACAATCAATGGCAGGTGGATCGATAAGATGATTGGCAGCGCTCCGGTGAAGAAGCAAGTGTCGAGTGACTTCATTTTGTCCTGTCACTATCTGGCATTGATTGCTCGCATGGCCCTTAACAAACTCATCTTATATTAGTAGTCGCAACTGCAGCCCGTGCTTCGTTTTCTGGCTTTCTTTCTTTCTTGAAGTTGGTGCATCTTTTTCAGCTTAATGTGGAGCACACCACCATCATGCTTTTTCCATTTTTCCCAATCCTGAAAAAGAGGCTCAAAGTGAACAAAAATAGTGCCGGGGGACTTCTGCGCAACACAGCAGTCAGTCAAAGGCATCATCGGCGCAGCTTTGCTTAGCTTCCGCAATCTCTTTTATCGTCACACCTCGTATACTTTTCACCCATAAATGATTACTTTCAAAAACTATGTTGAAACAAACAACTGCCACTGACCCGCTGCCATTTTTTTGGCAGAGCAGAAGGATCTCTCTTGTCAGCACACGGCGAGCTAAAACGTTTAGCGCCTTTTCCTGTCCTCAGCACAATCTTCCACATGGCCCGGTCGCTAGCGTGACCGCCCGATATGCGCCACTCAGCACTCTGAGGGAGCGGCATGACATTTCAGCAGTCCCGAAAATGACGCCGGGCACGGCTCGACATTTACGCCTCATCGGCCCCCGCCCGTCTCCGCTCCACGTTACGGACTCCCGGAATCAACCTTCATTCGCGTGAGAAGTATGTAGCAGGATGGACCTTTTCAAAGGCCGTTTTATAGTTATTGGATATCCTTTCTGTATATTTTGACAGTGTTGGTCTACCGTTCACAAAGCACACAGAGTGCTAACATCTTTACCCAAACAGTTAAAACAAACAAAAAAAGACCATGAAGGCGCCAAAATGCTGGCTACTTTTGTGTGAATCTATGCGTTAAAGGTCGTCTGTATAATAATGTTCAACGGATAATTTGATTTGAGTTGTGACCGCACCGTGAATGCACGCTTTTGCTTCCAGCAAGCGTGTGACGTGAATGTATTCTTCCTTCCCTGAACGTGCTTTAAGCTGTTTCATAACATCCCAGTTGCAGTTAACTGCAAAACTAAACGCACAACAAAAATAATTACACACGCTGTATATCAACATCGTCGCTTGCTTATACTCGTGCATGATATCTCTTCAAGTATTGCGAGTAGAAACACATACGTTCCTGTTCCTGTTCCCGTTTCTTTCAGATCGCCTACGCAGCGGTAGACTGCACCAAAGGACAAAACCTCTGTTTCATAACATCCCAGTTGCAGTTAACTGCAAAACTAAACGCACAACAAAAATAATTACACACGCTGTATATCAACATCGTTGCTTGCTAATACTCGCGCATGATATTTCTTCAAGTATTGCGAGTAGTAACACATACGTTCCTGTTCCTGTTTCTTTCAGATCGCCTACGCAGCGGTAGACTGCACCAAAGGACAAAACCACGAGCTGTGCAAGCAGGAGGGCGTGGAGGGCTACCCGACCTTCAACCACTATAACTACGCGAAATTTGTGGACAAGTACCACGGAGATCGCGGGGTGAGCTGAATGAAGTTCTCCTTTTGATGACTTAGCTGGGATATCATTGGCTGGTTGTCTTTGGACAGCAGTCATTGGAGCAGGCACCCAAAATTAAGCGCTTGTTGCCATTATTACATTCATAAACGTATCTAAATAGAATTATGAATTTAGAAAGCAACATTTCAAACAATGTCTTTACAATATACAGTACTGGCAACGGTGAAAAATTAAGTTCCAAAAGAAAAAAAAAATGAATCAAGAAATTCAAATTGTTTTTTTTTTTTGTTTGTTTGTTTTTTTTACTTTTTTTTTTTAACTACATTTTTTGATGCAGATTTTGGGCAAGCCTTTAAAATAGTGTCGCTGTTAGGTATAAGCCCCAAATGTTCAAATATGGTCAATGTCATATATTTCTCCGCAATTGGGTACTCTTAATCTTTCCCCACATTGTCACGTTCTTTTTATGCATTATAAACTAATTCAAATTATGAATTTAGAAAGCAACATTTCAAACAATGTCTTCACAATATACAGTAATGGCAACGGTGAAAAATTGAGTTCCAAAAGAAAAAAATATGAATCAAGAAATTCAAATTGGGTTTTTTTTTTTAATTTTTTTTTTTTTTTTTGTTTGTTTGTTTTTTTTACTTTTTTTTTTTAACTACATTTTTTGATGCAGATTTTGGGCAAGCCTTTAAAATAGTGTCGCTGTTAGGTATAAGCCCCAAATGTTCAAATATGGTCAATGTCATATATTTCTCCGCAATTGGGTACTCTTAATCTTTCCCCACATTGTCACGTTCTTTTTATGCATTATAAACTAATTCAAAGTGTTGAAAATATTTATTAATGTCTATAGCTACCGTATCTTTGATACTGGAACTATCTGGGAGGGGCTGTACAACTCCGCCACTTCTTCACCCAGCAGGAGTCCTGCAGCATTTTGTCCCCTCAAGATTAAAGGTCTAGATGTTTTTTGGATTTTTTTTTTTTTGTTTGTTTGTTTGTTTTTTTTCCATTTTTTTTTTTAACTACATTTTTTTGATGCCGATTTTGGGCAAGCCTTTAAAATAGTGTCGCTGTTAGGTATAAGCCCCAAATATTCAAATATGGTCAATGTCATATTTTTTTCCGCAAATGGGTACTCTTAATCTTTCCCCACATTGTCACGTTCTTTTTATGCATTATAAACTAATTCAAAGTGTTGAAAATATTTATTAATGTCTATAGCTACCGTATCTTTGATACTGGAACTATCTGGGAGGGGCTGTACAACTCCGCCACTTCTTCACCCAGCAGGAGTCCTGCAGCATTTTGTCCCCTCAAGATTAAAGGTCTAGATGTTTTTTGGATTTTTTTTTTTTTGTTTTGTTTTTTTAAACAGTAACGAGTGAAAACTGTTAAGTTAGATCCATTTGAGTTTGCTGTTTTGTAGCAGGAACTGCTCTGCTTCTTTTTTGCTTGCTAACATTATTGATGTTATAAAGCAATACTGCAAATACTTACAGATGAAATAAGCTTGTATATTAGTGTGACCTCCTCCTCCTTCCAGGAAGCCGGATTCATCGGCTTCATGCGCAGCCTGCGAGGCCGCGATCAGGAGAAAGTCCTTAAGAAGAAGGAGGAGCTCTGATGACGATGGAAGGCCGCTTGAACCCCCCCAGAACCTCCAACCCCTTTCAAGGGCCCCATCAGCACTGACACAGGAGACAAAAATGACCTCAAATATTTTGAATACCACGCTAATCACGTTTTGTTTTTTCTTTTTTGGGGGCGGGCGCAGTACACCAAACTCGCCTGGACACTGTGACTGATTATGTGACAAGCTACATGCTAATCTATGCAATTCCCAAGATGGCGGTCAGGGGGTCCCGGCAGACTTCCTGTCCAGAGCCGTCCACCATCTTGTTTATGGCTGCTCATCAACATGCGACGCCACGGTTAGCATAGCAACGTGGCGTGACATCAATCCTGGCCAAAGGGTGAGTTTTTGTCTTTAAATGGTGGCCTTAAAATAGTAAGAATTCCAACAGAGGCCCGGTGCCTTTTGCTTGGTTTTCTTCCGCCCTTCAAGTCAAGAACAACGATGCCAAATATGGCATCAAACGACATTTTTTTTTTAAATACTTTTTTTTTGTCCACCCTTCTCCAAATATGTCAATGAGAAGATAATCATTTTTTTCCCACAACTTTTGTCAGTCTTAAAAAATGGCGGTTTGACAAAGAAATGAGACGTCAGTCTCCATATATTTTGTCCATTTTCAGATACCACAATGAAAAATGTGTTATCTCCCAATTTTGCAGCTTTTTTTCCTCAAGTCACATCGCAAACAATATTAATTCAAGTTGTTATTTTTCTACAAGATACCGGTAGTTTAAATATGGGAGATATTAGCTGTGACAAAGAAATGAGACTTTCACCCTCCATATTTTGATATTTCGTTAGCCCCTTTTGAGACTGGCCAATATTTTTTGTCTGCCCATTACAAAATATGACGAGTAAAATAAGAGTCATTTTTTAGGGAACATTTATGGTGAGAGAAAATCTAATTGTATTGATTTTCTGGAAACAAATAGAAGACATAATGTACCAAAAAAAAAAAATGTGGATGTGAAATGCGCCAATATAGAAGAAAGACTGGCAAATATTTTTTGAAAACATGCTGATGAAAATTTCTATTCAATTTTTTGCAAAAAAAAAAAAAATACATATATAGAGAGAATTTTGGAAATTTGACGTGTGACAAAGAAATATTTCGATATGTCTTACAATTTCCAACTGTTCCGAGCTTTTCTGTAGCACAAGTTTTCATGTTGATCATCAAACATTTCAGTTCCGGAGTGGTAAATTTAAGGTTCTCAGGGATCACAAGACAATTAAAGGGAGCGCATTGTCATTTTTCCTGTGGTTTTGTTTTGCCAAATGACAACAACAAAAGAAAGAAAATAAGAGAATCACCCCGTGTCCTATTTGGTGTTATTACTGGAAAATTCCAAGCAGGGACATCTGGTGAGATCATTCCAGTTCATTGGGATATAATAGGAAGAGCATCCGTCTAATCCCAAAAAGTGTGTGTATGTGTGTGTATGTGTGTGTGTGTGTGTGTGTGTGTGTGTGTGTGTGTGTGTGTGTGTGTGTG